ATTGTTACTACATGTTAGTAAAATCTTGAACCCCCTCATTATTGACTGGCCTTACTCATTATTCTATTTACATTTGGATCGCCACATTTTTTCCTGGTTAGTACAATCAAGTATACTGATTGTACATGTCTGTAGACTCAGAGCCGTGAGAGTACTAACGTCGAGGTGTAATTCAAAGGCCTCATAATTGAATTATTTCCAAGTACAAACGCTCTCCTATTATTTTCGAGCTAGTACATACATTTCCAGTGACCCCCAGCTAATGTACATTTTTTTCCTGACTAGTACANAATGAGCCCTTTAAATTACACCTCGACGTTAGTATTTTCACGAGTCTGGGTCTACAGATATGTATAATCAGTATACTTGTTTGTACTAATCAGAAAAAAAATGTACATGAGCTGGGGGTCACTGGAAATATGTGTACTGGCTCGAAAATAATAGGAGAGCGTTTGTACTTGGAAATAATTCAATTATGAGGCCTTTGAATTACACCTAGACTTTAGTACTCTCACGCCTCCGAGTCTACAGACATGTACAATCAGTATACTAATTGTACTAATCAGGAAAAAAATGTGCATGAGCTGGGGGTCACTGGAAATGTGTGTACTAGCTCGAAAATAATGGCAGAGCGTTTGTACTTAGACATAATCCCATCATGAGCCCTTTAAATTACACCTCGACGTTAGTACTTTCACGAGTCTGGGTCTACAGCCATGTACAATCAGTATACTTGATAGTACTAATCAGGAAAAAAATGTACATGAGCTGGGGGTCATTGGAAATGTATGTACTAGCTCGAAAATAATAGGAGAGCATTTGTACTTGGAAATAATTCAATTATGGGGCCTTTGAATTACACTTAGACGTTAGTACTCTCACGACTCCAAGTCTACAGATATGTACAATCAGTATACTTGATTGTACTAATCAGGAAAAAAATGTACATGAGCTGGGGGTCATTGAAAATGTGTTTACTAGCTCGAAAATAATGGCAGAGCATTTGTACTTTGACATAACCCCATCATGAGCCCTTCAAATTACACCGGGACGTTAGTACTTTCACGAGTCTGGGTCTATAGACATGTACAATCAGTATACTTGATTGTACTAATCAGGAAAAAAATTTACATGAGCTGGGGGTCATTGAAAATGTGTGTACTAGCTCGAAAATAATGGCAGAGCGTTTGTACTTAGACATAACCCCATCATGAGCCCTTTAAATTACACCTCGACGTTAGTACTTTCACGAGTCTGGGTCTACAGCCATGTACAATCAGTATACTTGATAGTACTAATCAGGAAAAAAATGTACATGAGCTGGGGGTCATTGGAAATGTATGTACTAGCTCGAAAATAATAGGAGAGCATTTGTACTTGGAAATAATTCAATTATGGGGCCTTTGAATTACACTTAGACGTTAGTACTCTCACGACTCCAAGTCTACAGATATGTACAATCAGTATACTTGATTGTACTAATCAGGAAAAAAATGTACATGAGCTGGGGGTCACTGGAAATGTGTGTACTAGCTCGAAAATAATAGGAGAGCGTTTGTACTTGGAAATAATTCAATTATGAGGCCTTTGAATTACACCTCGACGTTAGTACTCTCACGGCTCCGAGTCTACAGACATGTACAATCAGTATACTTGATTGTACTAATCTGGAAAAAAATGTACATGAGCTGGGGGTCATTGAAAATGTGTTTACTAGCTCGAAAATAATGGCAGAGCGTTTGTACTTTGACATAACCCCATCATGAGCCCTTTAAATTACACCTCGACGTTAGTACTTTCACGAGTCTGGATCTACAAACATGTGCAATCAGTATACTTGATTGTACTAATCAGGAAAAAAATGTACATGAGCTGGGTGTCACTGGAAATGTGTGTACTAGCTCGAAAATAATGGCAGAGCGTTTGTACTTAGACATAACCCCATCATGAGCCCTTTAGATTACACCTCGACGTTAGTACTTTCACGAGTCTGGATCTACAAACATGTGCAATCAGTATACTTGATTGTACTAATCAGGAAAAAAATGTACATGAGCTGGGTGTCACTGGAAATGTGTGTACTAGCTCGAAAATAATAGGAGAGCGTTTGTACTTGGAATTAATTCACTTATGAGGCCTTTGAATTACACCTCGACGTTAGTACTCTCACGGCTCCGAGGCTACAGACATGTACAATCAGTATACTTGATTGTACTAATCAGGAAAAAAATGTACATGAGCTGGGGGTTACTGAAAATGTGTTTACTAGCTCGAAAATAATGGCAGAGTGTTTGTACTTTGACATAACCCCATCATGAGCCCTTTAAATTACACCTCGACGTTTTAGTACTTTCACGAGTCTGGGTCTATAGACATGTACAATCAGTATACTTAATTGTACTAATCAGGAAAAAAATTTACATGAGCTGGGGGTCATTGAAAATGTGTGTACTAGCTCGAAAATAATGGCAGAGCGTTTGTACTTAGACATAACCCCATCATGAGCCCTTTAAATTGCACCTGAACGTTAGTATTTTCACGAATCCGTGTTTACAGACATGTACAATCACTTTATTGGGTTGTACTCATCAGAAAAAAATGTGGCAATCCAAATGTAAATAGAATAATGAGTAAGGCCAGTCAATAATGAGGGGGTTCAAGATTGTACTAACATGTAGTAACAATTTTCCAATTAATACATGTTAATTTTTTTTTTATACGGCATCAAAAAAATTGCAAGGGGGCAATTATGGATGGGGATAGTTAATAAAAAAACAAATGAAGAAGTAAATCGAGCATGGTACAAACAAGTACTAACGATTTCAAATTCATTCATGTAATATTATTTTTTCTCCTGGTTGTTAAAATTTTAAAAGCGGTGAACTATAGAAGGGGGTTAGTATTGAAAAAAAAAAAGTTGTACACACCAGTACTATCAAAGTGCAACTGATTGCCACATTTTTTTTTGTTTTCAACTCCGACGCTGCACGATTTTGCCCCCCCTGCTTCAGCTCTAAAGTAAGGGTGTACAAAAAAAAGTTCATAGGGTACATTCAAGTACTCAATGAGTACAATCCAGACCAACAAAAAAAAGTCGATTTTCCAAACTTCGATGCCAACTTCACATAGCTATGACCGCCAGTAACCTTGCCGACACCGAGTAACCGAATAAAAATTTCTGTTTCATCTATATAGATGAGAATTGACCGTCAGAATTGAATTGGTCATTTTTTGAATTCCTGGCCGAATCGTCAGATTTATGGACATGGTAATTACCCGTCATGACCGCGGTAATTGACCGTCATTTGACCGGTCATTTTTGTCACTTACATTCCTACTCTTGATGCGTTCATAAACTCGAGCCGCTTAAGGCTTAAACTCTTAAAAAAATTAAGCAAATTAAAATCTTTATGTGAAATTTTCCTATTAAATTCTACAATATTTTTGTTCAAAATTTATATATTTCTTTAAATAATAAAGTTTCAATTGTATGGAATAAATAGTGCATTCGTTAGAATTAGATAATCAATTAGAAATAAATAAACAATTAATTCATTATAGATCAATAAATTTTGTTCCTTCGCGATCTAAACAATGATTCTATATTTTTGGCTAACAAAGTCTTTAATTGTTGTAATTTTTTCCTGCACGTCGAAGGGGAGGGGGGAGCCAATAATATTCACAATGACAAACACCAATTTTCATTAGATTCACATTATGCTGCACGATTACATAAAATTTGATCATTTTTACCCATATCTCCACGTCAATTTGTAACTATACATTTTTCTCGTATGTACGAAGTGTGTTGAAGCGAAAACAACACACTTGGCAACAATTCTCAAACATAATTACAAATTGCAATAAATTCTAAAGGCTCCCAGAAATTCTAGTTCTATTCTGGAGTGCCATAGAAACCCGTAAAAATTTTTCGATTTTTCTACCAGCGCTTTTGAAGTATGGAGTTCCTGAAGCATCCCCAAATTTTTCTAATCAAACTCCCTGAAAATTCTCAACAGCTTTTTACCATATAACCAAACCAAATTTCATCCAATTACTTTGAAAAATTCCATTGGACATAGCAATCACGGGGATTCTCATTGATGTGGACCAGTATTCCGATTCATTGTTCATCCACTCGTCAATTTACGCGTTGAACAAATAAATGGAAAACGTGGACTGGATTCATTGATAAATAGCAATCAACCAAGGACACATGTATCTCAATCAACCAATCAAAAAGCATAGGAGCAGATAAATGAATCTTCTCCGAAACGTTCAACATACAATACCACATTATGTGATAACATTTACATGAGTGCATTCTGAAAAAAATCGCCACCCCTACTCAGAAGCACCTCAAGTGAGCATGAATGGAGAAGCTGTTTGACTGCACGAATCATTGATAATAATAAACCCACTATGATATGCAGGTCCGTTCCTCGCGTTCCCATCGGCAGCTGAGCCAACAAGTTTGAGGCCGTTGGCACGAGAAGGAAGATATAATGTTTGTAGGATAGCCGGCGCGTCTACGTGCCGGTGACGCCCGCAAGATAAGATACAATGCGCGAGACGAAAGGAGTGATAATCTAACACATTCTGGTCAGAATACGGTCTATAAAAAATTATCCTCACACATTGAGTAAAAAGCCAAAAGTTGATTTCCGTTGATTGAAGCGCTGAAGGTGAAAAAGATGAAGTGAAGTTGAAAGGTGCGTCAGAGAAGAATGAATGATTCGTCAAATAACTGATTTGAGTTTATTACAATCAGTGATCAAATATTGTAATTAGTTATTCAACACAGGTACTTATTGTCTCAAACATCTTTCAATTTGTTCCGATCCTCAAATCTTTCACCGCATCGATTAAGGAAAAGTTGGAGGCACTAATGTTCTTGGCTGTAGAAATCTTTTTTTCTCGCTTAGTGCAGTCACCACAAAGTAAAACTGCGGTAAAGTCAAATAACTCCACACAACAAAGAACAAAGAGTGGTACCTTACCCAAGACAGTTAGTGGTTTTGAAGCTAACCATCCTGCATCAACGATCAAACGATAAATATATCCAAGGCACTTGCCCGAAACACACGGCACATTTCAACATGAAGAATAAATCACAATTTAACACTGAAACACTTGATGTCAAAAGGAATTAACTATTATAAATAAACAAGTGTTCATCCTGACGAGCGAAAGGTCAGACGAAGCAGCTATAGACCGTCCAGCTGCGCGTTTCCGGAGCGACTGACTACCAGCCACGCTTCGTGTCCCCGACACTCCCACCCTTGTATTCACTTTTTTTTCTCTTCTCTCTTTCTCCGTCTTTCCCTCTTCACCAACTCACTGCGTTACTTTTGCACTGCTGTTGTCCTCTTCCATCGGCCGACGTTTGTTGCACACCTAAAACCCTTTACTTCCATCGTTCATCCGTGTCAACTGACGCCATAGTTCAGTAATTTTACTTCTCATGAAATACTAGTTCTCGCTTCTTAAAATATCTTTTTAGGTGAAAAATTCACCTGACGGACTGCCATGGACTCTCAAATGAACAGGTGATTGTTCGGGTTTACGGGGGTTTTTCTTTTACATTGGAACGGGACGCTTTGTGTTTTCGGAAACAAGCTACCTGGGCGAGGGTATGGGTTTCCTCAGGTAACGTAGAAAAATTCCAGAGTGTTCGATTATTTACGAGAAGTGAAATATTTATGTTTTCGTTTGGATTCGAAAAGAAAACTTTTGAAAAAAATCAATTTCTCGTGTTTCCGATTTTTTGAGGCATAAAATATAAGGGCTTTATGTTTCACGGGTGTGGTTTTTGTCCCGACAAAAATCACACTCATTACCACTTATCAGCAAACGATTTCCGCCTGATTTTTTGACATAACAAAGATAATGTTTAAAGCTAAAAATTCAATAAGGTACGGATGACATATCGAACTTCAGAGAAAACATTTTAAAAATATGAAAAAAAAACGGCAAGTCCACTTTTCGCACGGATGAGGAAATATAGAATATAATTTATCTCTATAAGATGAACAGTTCCACGCTAAATCCGAAGCCAAAAAAAATTTGATGTCGGGAATTTTTAAAATATTTTTTTTCTGAAAAGTTCCCTAACAGACGAATATTTTCAGAAACAAATGATCAAAAAATGCTGATAACAGCGGAAGTCATGATTTTCTTAGAATTTCCATTTTTTGTGACATTTTTTGTTCTCACATTATCATTAATATTTTCAGCCCATCCGTATTTTATCAAATTTTACGGGGTATATACGCTAAAATATATTTCTTTCGATCTCGATTATTTCGCAAATTCAATTTTTTGAAAATTCCAAATTTTTAACAAAAATCATCGATAAAATAAAGAATATTTTCGCAGCAATTAAACTCAGTTTTTGGCAGTAATTTGACAGTTATTGTTACTTTATGGATATTCATGTCGTTCGGACAATTTTTTCTGATAGAAATCCTTTGCAAAGTTTATGGAATAAAGTCTGCAAAGGGTTTCAGCAAAGAATATTTTTGAGGTGGAATATCTACCGTAGTTTCCGAACATTTTTCGAGAAAACGATTTTTGAAAAATGAAATTTAATACATTACGCGTCCATGACAGCTGTATACTCCCACATTGAATCCAATAATTCATAGTCTTAAAGCGCTTTCTTGTACACAACCATATATGACTTTGTTCGTTATCCTCTCTAATTTTGTTTACGACGCATTTCTAACGTCTGGCAACGGCCCGTTCGAGTGACTACTCGGACCAAATCGACCAAATTGAGCGAAGTACTTGGATATCCTGACGTGAGAAAACTACCGAAAATGACCGCAAATTGCTGTTAATTTTACAATCATTTCACGAACGAATGGATTCTTACTACAATTTATGTGTCAAAAGATGAAATTATCGAAATATAAAAAAGATTATAGAGGATACCGGAGCAAACTAGAACACTGCACGGTTAGAAATCTTTTTAAAATCGAAGGTGAAATGGCCATAAAATTTGGAGAAATTGACTTGAAATATATTATGAAGGGAAATAGTGCTTGAAAATTCAATTATTCGTCCTTGCTCGTGGAATTATAGTCAAAATGAACTCGGAATATCAAGCCTTCGAACTTGAGGGGTCACTTCAAGTGTTAACGCATTAAATTTCAAGACACTCACTTCGAATTTTCAGGCCAATAATCCCTCGAAATTTATAGCCTGCCTTGACCTCTACGGGTATCCCCCGCTCGAACCTGATAGAAAGGGACGGGCTTCAAAAATTAAGGACGCTCTCTGCATAGTAAATACCCAAGAGCTTGAAAATACGGTACCATTATTACTTTACGATAGATTTGTATTAGTGTCGGCCTCTCATTCCACCCACCCAACCCAACCCCCTTCCCCTCTGCGATCGGCAAGCTTGATATTCGTTAATTGTTTGAACTATCATGACTGAGTGATCAACCGGAATGTGAACAAAAAAATTCCAAATATCAAAATTTTATTTTGAATAAAAAGTTTATCAAACTTACCAGTAAAAAAAAAATTTATTGATAATTTGCCTTAATAAATTTTCTCCCTCGCAATGCTTGTTGCAATGATACTTATTCAATCAGTTCGAAATATGAGTCTTTCACTCGCTCACGACATGGTAATTTTTTTTCAACATTTCTATCTTATAAATAAATAATCAAAATTGTTCACCTTCCCGAAAATCATTTTTTTCATCATGGAATAGATTACTGGTAAAATTCTAAATATGGATAACTTAATTACAAATTCGAAAAAATAATTTTGAGGGAAGAAAATTCATGGTTTATAAGTTATTTATGGAAAAAGATCGAAATTCCCAGAAATAGAATATTTTCAATTATTTCAATTATTTCAGATTCTTAGAAATATTTTCTAACTATTAAAAATGATAAATCAAGTTCGGATTCAAAAACGTTAAAGACAAGAATCATTGTAAAATTTCCGCTAACATAGAGAAGCAATGACACAAAAAAAAACCTCGAATCACTTGGATTTGTATAAACTCATGCATGGGTAACACCTTTGTAATTTATTTGCGATTTTAAACTAATAAAGGTATCAAGCACTTGCATATAATTTTAAACATTCATTGGGTGTAATGTTCGATCAGAATCTCAGTTGTTTCTTACCGTATCTTGTATTTGAATGATAATGGAAATATCTTCTGAATTAAATATCTCAAAACCTACCGAAACAAAGTAAATTTTTTCTTCCTCCGCAATATAAGAAATATGGAAATATATTCCAAGCTATTACAATCTTCCTGATTTCTTATTTCTGCTCTTAACCCTTTGGATACCGTATCGTACCGAGTCAAGCTTTAGATGGTAGAGTGGGGGCGGTCGATGTTCATGGAGAGCGTGTAGAGAGGTGGAAACACTTCTCGGCTCAGAGGGTTGAGCTCACTCGTTTTTAGGGGAGAACGGGCCACTTGGTGCTGGCGGGTATCCCTGACTTTCCACTTACACTGAGAAAAAAATGTTTCAAAAATTAGTGTGCTACTCACCAATGCTGGGACATAACAGGGGGTCATCGAAAAATTCGAATGTGGCACCCCAATTTTTAAAGGGACTTGCGCCAGTACTTCGCGCGATGCCCGCAAAAACTTAGGGTGCCACAGACGAATTCTCTGATGACCCCCTGTTATGTCCCAGTATTAGTAAGTGGCACACTAATTTTTGGAGGGACTCTCATGGAATTATGATGTATTTTTCTCTCCGTGTAGTGCGTTAAATAATGAAATATGATTTAGAAATAGTAAATATACCCTTCTTAATTAATTGAAGTTATTAACAATTTGAAATTTTATTCTAATTCTTCGTGCAAACTATTAAAAGATACCTCCAAAATTTCAATCATAAAATGTTTTTCCATTCAAATTGAATAATCGGAATGAAAATTAAATGGCTAGTTGACCCATGAGGGTCAAGTTTTGTGGGGAGTTTTCCATGGCTTTGAGCGGATTAAAAATTTTTACCTACTCCCCCACTTTTTTCAATTGTCACGAGACCGGGGCACGCATACCCATTATTTATGGCACCCGTTTACCTTTTTTTCTAAGACACTTTCGGTCTTTTATTGCCTTTCGTTCGCAAAAGTACTGGATTTTCCAGGTGTTCGAAATAGCCCCTCATAAAACCCCACTACCCTCTCATTCATACACTCACTCTGTTGATTGATTCCTCGGGAAAATTTTTCTTGAATTTCACTCAGTATTTAGGGGCTTGTCCTAGGGTTAAGATCGAGTGATCATAAACCTATCTACAGTGCGAATGAGATTCTCATTCAAACAACAACAGTGTCAGTTCAAAAGTGCTGAAGCCAATTGGCGATTTTGAGGATATTCAAGGACGAATCTAGTAAGTACTCTTTTTTCATTATATAAGTTATCCGAAAATAATAATTAACGGGCGAGAGAATATAAAATAGCCAAAGTCTCCGTTGAACCTTTGTGAAAAATTCCAGTTACCAAACAAAATTTAATACGACTCATTTTCGTGTATAAAAGCAAGTGGAGATTAGTTTTTTTAACATTGTTTGGAAATTTTGATTTGTGTTATGCGGAAAATATCCTTGCACCCCCGCCATTGAATTTTACACTGAATTCTTATAAATTTTTTCCGGTACTATGTATACCTGTCAGTTCTGTTCGAAACAATGAAATTCGCTCAGATGTCATTTATTATGCGATACGGCAATATTAGGCAACAATTCCATTGCGGATATAACGGATGTAAAGTTGTTTTTCGCGAGAAGTCTTACTTGTATAAATATTTAATTAGATATCATAAAATATCAGCGAAAAAGACAGAGGCTATTGCACTACCAGTGTCCAAGACAAATAACAACTATGTCTGTACGGTCGTCGTATGTGAGCAAAAATTTCATGATTATCATGCTTATATGAAACATTTGAGATACCATATACGAACTGGAATCGAAGTACTTTGCCCAGTCTCAGGTTGTAACAAAAAATATTCACGGCGTCCCTCTTTTACGGGCCGCAAGCAGTCTATCTGAGTTTAGGAAATTTACCCACACATCTTCGTACTTGTATCAATACAATTCAGTTGGTTGCCCTATGTACAGAGCGAAATTTTAATCACCATAACGTATATGGGAAGATTGTGGATGATCTCAAGTTATTAGAAAATGAAGGGCTGGAAATAGGACTGGGCTACATACGGAAAGTAGGATTGG